TTGAGTTTCATCTATGTCCCTGCCCCTCATACTAGTAAGAGGTTGGGAGATAGGTTGTTCAAGTGTTTGCTTGGTTGGAATCTTGATAGAAAGTTGTCCTCGATTACCTTGGATGACTGTACCACCAATGATGCCATGATTACTCATATGAAAACTAAACTTGCTATTGACGATCTGTTGTTGGATGGTGTGCTGGTTCAAATGAGATGTTCTGCTCATGTTTTGAATCTCATTGTGAAAGAAGGGTTGGAAGTCATCAAAGATGGCATTGAATTGGTTAGAGATAGTGTTGTGTACTGGAAGTCCACTCCTAAGAGGGTACAAACCTTCTTTGAAACTGCTAAGCAGCTTAAAGTGCCTTGTGAGAAGCAACTTGTGCTTGATTGTCCAACTAGGTGGAACTCCACCTATGATATGCTATCTACAGCCATTGTGTATAGAGATGTTTTCTCTCGTTTGAGGCAGTGGGATAGTCAATACACCACTGTCCCTACTAGTATGCACTGGGAGTTTGCTGCTATGGTCATTGATAAGCTAGAAATTTTCAGTGAGATCACAAAGCTGTTTTCTGGCAGCAAGTATCCCACTGCTAATTTGTTTTTCCCCAAGGTTTGTGATCTGAGACTGAAATTGTTGGAATGGTGTGCCGATACCAATTCTCTTATCTCGGCTATGGCTGAGAGTATGTGGGAGAAATTTTCTAAGTATTGGGATGATATACACTTGGTTCTCGCTGTGTCAGTGGTTCTTGATCCTAGATACAAGTTGCATGTGATTGAGTATTATGCTGCTAAGTTTGGCAGTACTAATACTGACTTGGTGGCTGATAAGATTAAGCAATGTATTTGTGGTTTGGTGCTGATTACCAAACCAAGTCTGAGAGGAACAATTCTGGTTCTTCAACTGCTTATGATAGTTCTTCTACTCCTGCAAATGATGATCTTGATTTTGAACTGTTTGTGAGTCGGAGGAAAAAAAGCAAAGCAACTCTGGTCCATACTGAACTGGATCACTATCTTCTTGAGGAACTGATTCCTAAAAGGTCTCCTGACTTTGATATACTGATGTGGTGGAAACTGAATGGCCTTAAGTACCCCACTTTGCAAGCAATTGCAAGGGATTTCTTGGCCATACCAATTACATCAGTGGCTTCTGAATCTGCTTTTAGCTCTGGTGGGAGGTTAATAGACCCTCATCGGAGTAGATTGCACTATGATACAATAGAGGCAATGATGTGTACCAGAAGTTGGATTATGGAGGAAATGCAACAAGGTAATATGCAATTACTTGTCTTTTTCATTAAAATGTTAACTTGATTGAATATTAATTATCTTTTTTCATTGTTTTCTTCAATATGCAGAATCATCGAAGGCTGCTGTAGAGGCAATGGAAGGGGTGTTCTCTGCTCTAGCAATTTCAGATTCCAGTACTGAAGATCAAGACGAAGCTGGTAATTAGTTCAATTTAGATTGGTACTTAGTTTGATAGTTTCAATCTCTAACTGTAATTTTTTATTCTTACAGTTCAGGGGGGCCTTGTGATGAGGAAGCATCTAATATCCCTAGACGACTGATTTGTTCAATGCAATGAAAGGTTCAAGGTATTGAGCTAGACTTGAGCCTTTTAACTTGTTCAATTTAAACGTGACTTTCACTTATCTAACTGTGGTTGCTACTCTGTTTCTTGCAGTGATTGCTTTTCATTTTTCAAGGATGAATGCTGCTGTTGAGTGTTGAGTTGGTTTCCAGCAGCATAGTGTTGCTTACTTTTTGGAAGAAAAGATCAAAGGAACTCGTGTGTGCTATTAGTATAGGTTTTAGTTCGATTTATGGATGATGTTATTGGGGCTGTCTGCCTTTGTTTTTTATCTCTTCCTTTTGAGGTTTGAACTTGAACACTAGTGTAGTGAAGAACATGTTATATGGGTTTTGGGTGGTGGGTTTTGGTTGCAGCAGCTTGTTTGGTTGCTGCAACCTATCACTTTTGTTTCATTGTTTGAACAATGAAGATCTGGGTGTTGGGTGGTGGGAGGGTTACAGCCCCAGATCTTCTCTTTTGTGTTTTGAATTTATGTGCCTTGAACATCAAGGTACTTTGAAGTTTGAATTTCAGGGATTTTTTATTAGTTTTTTCCTTTTTTTTTGTATTTTACTCAGGATCCGTGGTGATCCGTGGTTTACCCGAATCCGTCTGGGGACGGTGACGGAAACCAAACGCGCCCCGACAAAGGGACGGGGACGGGGAAATCCGTCCGCCTTGACGGATGGGTAACGGGAACTAGCTACCCGTCCCCGATCCGCCCCGTTGCCAACCCTAACGCGAAGGCACAACAACGACTCTCGATTGAAAATGTATCCAACGAACAACACTTGCCAACCGCCGATAAAATTGTAATGGCGACTGCAACAGGCTTCGACGGTGGCGAGACCCCCTGCTTCCCGATCGATCCGCGTCCTCCGGCGTTGAAGGCCGAATTTCTCTGTTTCAAGACTAGGGGAGTAGAGATGAAGACATGAGTTTGTCGGTTGTGCAGAGGAAGGGGAAGGGGTTTGTCCGTTTGTTCTTTTTTTAATTAATTAAATTATTTTTTTATTTTTCTAATTAATTGATTTTGAACATAAATAATAAAATAATTAAAACTAAAACTGAAAATAGGAGTAATCGAGCGACAATTGGATCATTTCTCATTCCATTTAATGGTCACTTAACGATTGTTAGATGGAAGGGTAAACCTGTTACGATTTAATATTAGAAAGCTATATTTGTGGAAAAATATAGTAGAAGGGTACGTTTGTTAATTTGTCAAAATAAAGAGTTACAAAATGCTATTAACCCTATTATTAATATATATATATATAAAGTTGAAGGCAAGTTACTGTTGCCTAAACTATTACATTTCGAATCCCAAATTAAATTACAACTTAGTTACTGTAATGTACATTTTATATTTTGATACCCCAAATTTAATTTTCATTTAAAATTATTGAACAATTATGTTTTAGTATCTAAATTTATGAGATTTTCGTACGTAAATTTTTTTACTTTTACACACATTGCTCCAATGTTTAGATTTCATTTGAATCCATGAATCCATTCCACCAATTCTTTTGATCCAATCCACCATAACATAAAAGTATAAATTTAGTTTGTACCATACAAGATGTTGTATCACTCAAACGTGAAACATTAAAAAATATGATAAAAGAGATACGATTCTAAAATATTGTAAGAGCGAATTTATAAACTCATTTAGTACATTTACGGGGTACTATACACATTTCTGCTAACTACATGTAACAAAATATGTGACATCTACATAAGCAAGTGTTAACAAATTGCTACGGTGGAAAGGGTTGACTGTTACATTGACGGCCAACTAAAAGAATTGGTCAAAACCTTTTCATCATCTACTTCCCCTTCGTTTCATTTTTCACTCGTCTTCCGTAATCCATTCTTTATTTCTTTCTTTGCCTTCTTCGTCTAACACTAATTAGTATATTATTTTTATGTATTATAATCACAAGTATGAACGAGTCCATACACGACTGAACAATAGTCTACAAAATTAATAATTAAACCATGAACCACTAACTTTTTCAACTTAATGTTGAGTCCAATTAAAAACAATTATATATGGTTATTACTTATGAGAAAGTCGTCATTTTGCACTATGGGATTTGAAGGCATGAAATTTTAAGCGAGTTCCAGTTTGTATTCATTTTGCTTCTCTCTAGAGATTTTCTTTTTCATCCGGGTTAGAATTTCCAACAATTATACATGAAATTTTCAACAGTTATACATATCAAATATTTTTTTCTATTTTCTATAAAAAAGTAAATAATTATCATCTTAAATACATCACCATAAAAGAAAATAAGCATCAACTATGCAAATTACAGTTGAGTACCTAAACTTAATAGATCTTTAGATTTATAACCTAAATTTATTTGTTTTGACATATAAGTCCTCAAAATATTTATAGAACATTACATTTTAGTAATTATATTTTTTTTGTATTACACCTTAGTACCTTAACTATTGGAGTTCTATTAATAGGTATATTTTTTGTATGTGTAATTATAACCCCTCGAATAAATGAGTATTCATGCCTAACTCATACACATCTTTAGATTATGAAAGTAAATAGCCATACCCTACCCAAACCTATCTACAAACTTTCAAACTCATAAATACGTCACACATACCCTACATATAATCAATGAGTCTACTTGGATTTAGATAAATATCATTTATTAGCCAAAACATTTAAATTTTTAAAATTGGATTTTGACCACCATATATCTATTCTCAGTCAATATCATATTGTCAACTCAATATTACTAACAAAACTGCTAACAAAAAATTAATTTTAGACTAATAATACTCACAAAACACCATAACGTGTCACATAATACTTGCCCATAGACTATCTCCATTCCGCGACAAGTCGCGTCATCGCCACCTAGTATATATATATATTATATATACTTTCTATCCAAATGCACTTCCACAGTTCCCGCACCCAAAACGAGATGGGGCATGTCATGCAGTGTGACTACAGTAGTCCATAAATTATTAGGAATCTTTTCCACACAAAACCGTCCAAGCCGTCCGAGAAATCCACTAGCTAGTGCAACGTTGGTGAACATATGTAATGTTATGTTCTATTGGAGTGATTTTAGATTCCTAGTGTACGTTGTTTCCATTTGGTAGTTAACTCCAGAGCTAACCCAGAATCATTGACGACAACCAAATGCTTCAATCTTTCACGACAAAAACCCTCCCCTCCGCCCATTTCCCACAACAAAACAAACAAAACCTCCCAGAAACAAAAAGCTAGATAGCTTAACTATATGGTCGCGATGATCAGGCATCATCATCATTGGCCTTCGCTTTCTGCCCTTCTCTCTTACTGTTAGTGCGCATCCATCCATATCAACTCCATCCATCCACACAAAGCAAAAAAAGCACCCAGCTTTCCCATTATCCCCCTGGTTTACCTTCAGCAGAGCAGGAGCAATGGATTGGAAGCCTCTCCTGTATAAATAGAGAGCTCCTTACATTTGTATTTGCGGACACTGCATAGAGAGAGACACAGAGCAAGTCTAAACTCAGACAGTACCCCTGTGTTTCTCCTCCCCTGCTTCTTCTACATTCAGGCTCCCTCTCCATCATTCACACATTCTTCCCTCTTATTGTTTATAATTTGTCGACCATTGCACGAAAACAAGAAAGAGATTAAATGGGTACCACCAGAGCATCAATTTTCTCCTTCTCCTTCTTGTACGTTGTTGTAGCCATTCTTGTACTGCCACTTGGTCTCGCCTCTGCCAACAATGCTTCTTCTGGTACATACAATGCTAATGTTTGAGCATGTTCTGGTCCTTCTTTCCCTTTTCACGCCATTGTGAAAAGAAGAAGAAGAAGAAGGGGATGTTTGGTTGATCGAATTTTGTCCTGATTGTTTGTTTTTGGAAAAAATCTTGTACAGTGAGCTTTGGTTACTCCGGGCCAAATGGGCCTGCGAAATGGGGGAGTTTGAGCCCAAAGTACCAGGCATGTGGATCTGGCAAATCCCAGTCCCCTATCGACATTAGGAGGAAGGAGGCCGTGGAGGACAAGAAGCTGCAGAAACTGGAAGGGAATTATCGTTCCGTGGGAGCCTCTCTTATCAACACCGGCCGCAATGTCATGGTTGAGACCTTCCTTCTCCCTCTGCCTTTGAACCAACCAATCAACTTTTCTATGGCGTGGTTAGCTCACTGAATCGGCTTATAAGCATTATTAAGTATATCACATCATGAACTAAGTTTCATATTAAAACAACGAAACCAAAGCCATTCCATCGTAATGATAGAGGAGTTTGTTACCATGTCATTGATGTGACAACAACCTTAAATCGGTGTACAATTCATGGTGTTAAATTGAGTTCAGAGTTTTAATTTCGACACGATTTGATTTGAATTGAACTATGTCCTTCTGTGTTGGCGGGAATGCAGGTTCATTTTGATGATTCCCCTGGAGAATTGGAGATAGAGGGCAAAACCTACAGACTGAAGCAAATGCATTGGCATTCTCCATCGGAGCACACCATTGATGGCCAGCAGTGAGTCCCGCTTTCTCTCTGACCATCCCTTCCTTTCCCTTTCCTGTTTTTGGGTATTGGGAATTCTGGCCTGGGCATGTTGGCGGCTTCAAAACGGCGAGTAGTTTAACTCTGTTCTGTCTCTTTCACGTGAAGGTACGCTTTGGAGCTTCACATGGTTCACCAGGCAGACGATGAGAGCTTCGCCGTGGCAGCAATCCTCTACGAATATGGCCCCGAAGACAAATTCCTGAAAAAGGTAGCCAGCGACTTGATAGAATTAAGAAAATGGATCGTATTCTATTCCTCTTGTTGACAAGGACCCCTCTGTTGTTTGTTGTTTGTTTATTTGTGTGTGCACGCACATAGATGAAAGACGGGCTGCAGGAGCTAGCAAAGGACAAGTACTCGGCGGACGAAGAAGCGCAAGTGCCGCTGAAGAAGAAAATGAAGTGCAAGATGCTGAAGAAGACTACTTCACACCACAAGTACTACAGATACGTTGGCTCCATCACTTCTCCGCCGTGCTCCGAGAACGTCATCTGGTCCGTCCTCGCCCGCCCCAAGACGGTGTCCAGAGAGCAGGTGAAAGCCTTGACAGCACCATTGCCAGATGGATTCAAGGTTAACGCGAGACCGGTCCAGCCCCTCAATGGAAGGAAGGTTGAGCTCTTCAAGCAACACTCCCCTTGATCGATCCAACGGACAGGGGAATGAATGAAAGGATGTAACTCTGTTGTTGGTTTTCATCGCATCAACCTCTCCTCTCGTTGTCGAGTGTGCGTGTGTGTGTGTCTTGAATGATTGAATGAATGTTGTGCGTGAAGTAATACCGTAAATGCATATAGTAGTGCTCTTTTGCACCCATAGGTTAGAGAGGGAACTAGGCAGCCAAACAGACTGCCCTCTGCAGATCAACAACATTGCATGATGATTTCCATGTCTAAGGCCAAAATTGTTAGCTACCTAGATGACTCTTTTATTATGCAATAATAATAATAAACAATAACTAGTTATTGCGCACACGCTTTGCTACGGATATCATACATTTGTTTGAGCTATTTCAATTTATAATTTATAACTTAATTCCCGTGTTTGAAAAGGTATAACAATACGATATATTTTATAAGATGTAATGGTTTACCAATTATGCACATGATTATTCTATCTTTATCAACATCTTAAATGACTAATGATGAAGATTTGCTAATAAATAAGCTATGATGAGGGCATCAACACCAAAGCTATTACAATCCTAACATCGGTGCGAGAGGAGGCTACTCAAAGTGAAGGTCCAATCACTTGAAGTTAAACCTAAGCATTGAATACACAACTACAAGCTTATTTGGCTAAGAGTTTCACATCATTTGAGCTTGAATTCTTCGTGGGACAAGAGATCATAGTCATCCACGTCCAAGAAGAAGATCCCAACTCGTTAAAAGCAAGGAATGAGCTTACTTGATGGTTAAGTCATCCTTAGTGAGAACACAAGGTGTGAATGAAACATTTTGGGCGGATTCATCCTTGGTGTGAACACAAGGTATGTTTTCATGATCAGTGTCACACAACAAGATTAATTCAAAGGGTTTGATTGATCAATGCAAATCAAACCAAAGAACAGGGTTTTGGTTCTAGGAACTGGATGAGATTAAAGTGAAATTCAACACCTGGGGAAGACACGTTCAATGTGAATGTGGGTAGTAGCTCGCCACAATCGAGGTTTTTTACTCGATTGATAGGAGACAAACAATCGATTGAAACTTTCAAGCTTGAGCTCGAAGAATTCTAGGTTACACTTCATTCAATAATGTCCTCCCCTTTACAAGCTACAATGAAGCCTTTATATAGGCAAAAGAACTTCATCCTATGCTTACTAAAAAAGGAAAACTACTATAACTCTAATAAGGAAAAACAAACACAAAACATCTAGAGAATCTTTCTCAAACTCGACTTTCAACTTGATTGATTGTTGCCTAAGTAACTAGCTTCCTACGCAAGTAACAAAGCTGCACTCCATACCAACTTAAGGCTCTTCGTTCAAAGGCTTCCAAATTGAGTCGAGCTCAATCAATTCCCTCCTCTCCCAGGTGTATAAAGGGAAATATTTCCCTCGGGAAACCTTCCTGGGCGCAACGGCTAGATCACGTCTTTCATGGGGATGGTAGAGTATCCTTTTTGGGAGTCAGCTATTGGAGATGGGTTTATGGTGGCAGGTTGGCAATGGCTGCTCGGCCTCTCTTCTCCACTCTAACTGGATTCCTGGGCTTCGGCTGGATCCCCCTCGCTATAATCCGTTGATCCTACCAGAAGGGGGTGACCCCCTGGTGGCAGAGGTTATTTGTCAAGGGGAAGGGCATTGGTCTGATGATAAGCTTGGACTATGGTTTTACCCGGCTACCTGCCGTGCCATACAAGCTATTCCACTCCCGCGACAGAATGTGGCGGATAAGCTGATCTGGCATAACACGGCAGATGGGGTTTTCTCGGTTAAGTCGGCCTATCGTTTGGCTGTTGAGTTGGACAGGAGGAGGGGAGTGTGGCGGTCCTCGGTTAGTTGGATGGATAAGCCAAGTTGGATTAGTTTGTGGGAAGCCAAGATCCCTCCAAAATTGAAGGTCTTTGTCTGGCAAATTCTTCATTGGGTCCTACCGACTACTGAGGCACTCATTGAGAAAAAAAAGTCCCTATGCTTCCCCGGTGTCCGGTTTGTTGGGATAGCCTGGAGACGATGGAACATCTGTTACTTTATTGCCCGGTTGCGCGGGCTCTCTGGGACTATTCGGGGCTGGAGTACTTGGGAGAGGGTTTGCCTCGGCACACCTTTCCATTATTTCTCAAACGTCTGCTGGCGCTGATTCATCAACCGGCGGTGTTCATGGTCGTGGTTGCTGTCCTTTGGCGGATCTGGCGGTCTCGTAACTGAGTTGTCTTTGAAGGCAAACAGTTTGGGATCCCTGCGCTAACGCGTCAATTTAACCAGCAGTATATTCCCCAGGGCCAGGGCAGCATGGCGCACCGGAATCTCCACAGTAAGCATGAGCATTCCCGCAGCAGGGATGTAACTGGGATGGTGGTAACCTGTAGTTGCAAAAGATACAGAAAAATTATTATCAACTGCAACAATAGTAGTTGTTTTGTAAGTCAAGTCGGTAACACTCACCGACCGACCAGAAGTGGTCCATGATCCATTCGAAGGCATCCCACATATCTCCATGAACGATTCGCGTGCGGGGGAGACTCCTCTCTTAGCCTTCCAAACTCTTTCTTGAGGAGGTGCTCGTGAAGTGTGGCCAAAGAATTGTAGCTGTTGTTGCAATGAAGTTTGTTGCCATTGACACCAAAATCCACACCATGCCCAAATCGAAAGGCTCCCACCACCACAACCTTTGTGCCTCCATGCTTAAATCAGAAATGACAATACTTGAAGCTTGACTCCTTTACCAAGTAATCCAGCACCCACTAGCTCGGTTTATGTTATGAAGATAAGATACCTTTTTATAATATTCAAAATGCAACTCGATCTCTATATATGTATCTTCTTGATCTCCAGTTGAATTGAATGTAAAATTAAATTAAATGAATCAGCAACGACTTGATTGATTCATACTCAACTCACCTTGATGTAAGTCCTGACATACAGGCTACAACTGCAATTACATCAGGCACCATGTCTTTCATCCATTGGAGGCTAAATTTCCCCTTTATGTTGAAGTAGTCGTTGGCCGATGCACCTGTGAGTACGAACAACGACGACTCCACGTGCTTCCGACGAGCTCGGCAGGAAAAGAAAAAAAAGACACAGTTCAGTTAATCAATGTTCGCTAGTTACCATCTATCATTTCCATCGCAAAACCACCGAAATGATGAACTAAAAAAAGACCTTTGTCATCTTTGAAAGCCAAATTAGAGGATCAATGGGAAAGAAGAAATGGAAAAAACTGGGAAAAAATTCAAAAGTATCACTGTCTAAAAAAAAATTCCAAAAATACCACCCAACCCCAAAAAATTCAAAAAATACCACCCTTTTTCAAAAAACGCCACCCCACCCTGCGGTTTACACAAAAACCGCTTGTCGGGGGCGCGTTTTTCTAGGCAAACCGCGGGCCCAGGGGGCGGTTATAAAAAAAAAAATTGGACCAAACCGCTGGGTGGGGTGGCGGTTTGGCCCAAAACCGCCACCCCACCCAGCAGTTTGGTCCAAATTTTTTTTTTTCGATCAACTCCTAACTTCGGCCGAAACTTCAAACGAACGTAACTTTGTACTCGGGTATCCGATCGTAGAGATTTTTTTTTCATTTCGCATAACTTTTCAAGATCTACATCTTTTACTAGGATGAAACTTTCAAAACAGGAACTATTTGTGGATATACGGGACCTTGATAATAACTTTACCTTTACTTTTCACAAATCCATGTACATTTTGAATTTATGATTATATTAAAAGTTGTAGATCTTGAAAATTTATGCGGAATCAAAAAAAAATTCATGACATTCGGATTTTGGAGCACAAAGTTTTCAAGATCTACAACTTTTAATATAATCATAATTTCAAAATGTACATGGATTTCTGAAAAGTAAAGGTAAAGTTATTCTCAAGGTCCCGTATATCCACAAATAGTTCCTGTTTTGAAAATTTCATCCTAGTAAAAGTTGTAGATCTTGAAAAGTTATGTGAAATGAAAAAAAAGATCGCTACGATCGGATACCCGAGTGCAAAATTATGTTCGTTTGAAGTTTCGGCCGAAGTTAGGAGTTGATCGGGAAAAAAAAAATTTGGACCAAACCGCTGGGTGGGATGGCGGTTTTGGGCCACCCCACCCAGCGGTTTGGTCCAATTTTTTTTTTTTATATAACCGCCCCCTAGGCCCGCGGTTTGCATAGAAAACCGCGCCCCCGACAAGCGGTTTTCGTGTAAACCGCAGGGTGGGGTGGCGGTTTCTGAAAAAAGGTGGTATTTTTGGAATTTTTTGGGGTTGAGTGGTATTTTTGGAATTTTTTTTTTAAACAGTGGTACTTTTGGATTTTTTCCAAAAGCCTGACACCCCAAGAAACCAAGACAACCTAACCATAGCATGCCATGCTGCTCGCTTAAAACCCAACAACAATCCTCTATTCCTCTTCTCTCAGCCACTTCATAAAACACCATTCCAAACCCAGAAACTCTGTCAAAGTTATCACCCTAAAGCGCACCCAAAAAAATGCCCCATTAAATCATCTATGAAACCTCTTCATCATCAAAAGTAGAGGCCTTCTGTAATCTACTCCCTCTTTCCATGATAGCTTACTTACTCTAGCCCTGCAAATGAAAAAGTACTCTTCCATACTAGCATTCCAAAAACTACCACACAACTTTTATGGCTTGGTAAAGCCAAATTACTCCACCCAAATCTATACAATATCCTAAAACCCAACCCTCCAGCTCATCCTAGCTCGATAAAGCTGGATTAGTCCCAAAACACACCAAAATCCCACAATCAAAACTCTACTACATTCGTGCTTTATAAAAGCTGATTTAGCAAAGCAAATCCCACTCAAATCAATACCCATGCTCAAAAATAGTCCAAACAAACCAATAGCTACACAAATGTACATGAGGGGAGGGGAGGAGAGAATTCTCGGTTAGTACACTCTTAAAAAAAAAGGAGGAAACTGTGAAAGTACTCTAGTTTCAAATACTTCAAGTAAATTTCTCCGGTCGATAATCGAAGAAAATAGGCAAAACACGTTTTTCAAATAGTCCACAATTCGATTGTTAGATAATTTGTAGACGACAAAAGTAGGTGTATAAGACCATTTGGATTAATATTTGAAATATTTACTGTATGCTACACCCGATTAGAAGGTTAAGTGGCGGCGGAGATGAGGAGGAAAGTCGACAAGTTAGGGAGGAGGGTAAGGATGAGATAGGATTGCGCCCTGTTAATATTTTTTTAATATCGATTAATTGTAGAATATGTGGATAATAGAAATATTTTAAGTTTTTTATTCTAACTAGACAGTGACATAATTGTTAGTAAACGGTGTTTACCATCAAAGCTAA